ATTCCAGGCTTTCCATCCGTTCCATGATTCCAAGCGCTTAGTCGTGGAACCTCAGACTATGAACTCGGAACCAAGTGGGTCCAATGCTCTCTCAACAGCGCTCTCGACAACGTTGCGCCCTTCAAGTCAAGAAGTTGTTCGTAGCTCAGTGAGATAAGATAAGGACTGCAGTGGAATATATCTGTAGACTCGACCGACGAAGTCGATTCCTAGTTCTTTAATGACCTACGTCACACACCCGCCGATCAAGTTCCTCGGGAATGAGTGCCCAAGACATTCCCACTTGGAGTGAGATGATCGGAAAATAAAAAAAGAGAAAATGACGAGAAGGAACACCGGAGAGGCTGAAACCACCAGCAACATTGAAACCAAAACCACACAAGCACCCCGAGTCCCCAAGTTACCCACCAGACGCCACCGATTTCACCAGATGTCATAAGAGACGAGGCGGAACCATCCACCGTGCATACATTTTCAGATGTCCGCAAATGTATAGACTTTTCCTTTTGGTCGTAATTAGAGGAAATCCCCAAGATCCCAACGTATGGCCTGCTTTTAGCTGCCTCCTCGAACCAGACAACCCTGACAAGTGTTTTATCGCCTGCTTCCTATTGCCATGGTCATGTGAACACGGCACCACAATACATTTCCCGGTTCTACTTTTTCTTCATGGTATTCTTGGTGCTCACGACTACTCATTCGTTCTCAGGAGCGTGGAAAAAACCTAGGAGACTAATCCCTTCGATGAGAGAAGAGCTCCCTTTCTGGGCATTCGCAGGTGGTATCTTGTTCGTTCACAGTTTCGTCTATATTTTTTTTCCGGGTAAACGGAATGACTAACCTTTGTTTTCTAGGAGGAATACCAACAGGAAATGCAAAATCTTAGGGTCGAGAAGGCATTACTTTGTCCCTAATTCAAGGAGCCAGAAAAAAAAGCTTGTAACATTTTGAAACAATTTAGCAATAATTTCTCTGAACATTCGAATGAAACGCGAAAGCCTCACTTTAACCTGACTTGGACGTTCCGAACATTTATTAAATGTCAATTCAACATTGTTCCAACTGTCCGTGTTTTTAATTATTTGCTGGAACGGCTTGGTCCTAGTTGGCTTGGGCCCATTGGCTTGGTCCTAGTTCTTGGATCAAATTTCATCATTTTTACCATATAGAAACTAATTCTAACAGAGGAAATCGATGTCTTTCGAATGATGTTTCCCACATGTCCAAAAATTGATATGAATGGTCATCCGGGTCAGGTCAAAGTTCAACTCTGGAAAAGATCTAATATGAATTACAAAACAAATTAGAAAACGAATTAGCTATCGTCTTTGAAAACCGGTTGAGAAACCCGGAAGGAGTTCACTGGATGATATCCAGTCATTCAGATATCTGCAAGTCGTCATGTTTTTAGATTTCCTTCAGTATTGGTACTGCTGATTGTGGATATCCGTACTAACATGGCGAGACGATCCGACTCGTTTCCTAGGGATTTATTTACAGTAATTTTTTTCCCAAGCACAATGCGATGAAGAGGAGGAATCGTCAGCGATGAATTCTTTCCATGCTCGGCAGCAATGACATCCGAAGACTTGCTCGCGCGTTTTCATGCTCCCGTCAGGATTTACTCGTCACGAAATTCTCACGGACGTCCTGGAGTATTCTGATCCTATCCGTCCAGCCAGGCTTCATTTGGTGGTTCTCGGCCGAGATCAAGAGTTCCACGTAGTCGGCGGCCGTCGTGCGGTTCGGCATGGGGGAGATCTTTTCCAACTCGCAGAGGTTTTTATTCTGATCCTATCCGTCCAGCCAGGCTTCATTTGGTGGTTCTCGGCCGAGATCAAGAGTTCCACGTAGTCGGCGGCCGTCGTGCGGTTCGGCATGTGGGAGATCTTTTCCAACTCGCAGAGGTTTTTGTGGGCTTCCCGGACGAGATCCGTGACCTCGGATCGGATCGCTGTGTGTTTCTCCGGAGATGCTTTCGAGCTCTCAGTAAACGTCTTTCCCGGAATGGCTTTGCCGGAGGACCGCTTCAGGTCTTCCAGAGTCTTCGATTCTGTCACGTTGTATGACTCGAATCGATGCCCACTGTTCACATGCTCCCTGAAGTGACATTTTGAAGGACAAACCCTGCAGTAACCTGTTTCTGGGTTTATGACATCGCACGCTCCCATCTGCCCTTCCTTTGATATCGTGCAAGGATAGTGGCAAGTAAAATTGCATCTCATGCAATTCGTGGCGTATTCACCCACCCGCAGTTCGACCCTCCGCTGCTTCGTAACTTGTGCTTGGGAAGGAAAATTCCTTTTAGAACTTGTTTCATCCTTCCGCCGCTCCAGTGGGACCGTTTCATTTTTTATGGAACTCAGGGCAAGCAAAGCTATAAAAGAAAGGAAAATGAAGGTCCTTAAAAATAAAGACGAGCTATGTCAGCAAACATTTTGAAAAAAGTGGTCGCAAATTTGAGATAGTTCTCCCATTTAAGTCCATAAATGTCCTCTCTAGGAGGAGAGGCGGATATGTTCCCAACGGAATTATGGCATCGAATCAATCTAAGTCAGCAAACATTTTGAAAAAAGTGGTCGCAAATTTGAGATAGTTCTCCCATTTAAGTCCATAAATGTCCTCTCTAGGAGGAGAGGCGGATATGTTCCCAACGGAATTATGGCATCGAATCAAAATTCATTTGCGCAAGCCAAAGAACCAAAATTAGACAGAAACTCCTCCAAAGCGAACGCAGGAAAAATCAGAAAGATACTTAAATTCGCATCCATTCATTGATACGTGATGCTTCCTAGGTCAGTTACTTAGGGCTTAAATCCAACTCTTAAAATCTTCAGTCAAAAGTGAACCATGATCCTTATGTGAAAGACTCCTATGAGACTTTTGAAACATAAAAAATCTCATAGGATCCTATAGGATTTTCCCGTAAGAGAACGCAAACCTGAATGGAAGATGAGCTCGTCCCTAACGGTTCTGGTTCTCCCCTGTACTCCAGCATGGCGGATGTGCGATGTGTGAGCCGTGTTGAACGTCATCTTGGACGTCAGTGAAAAAGCCCTATTCGTTCTCGATAGTTATTATTACGATCATATTGAATTAGTGGTTCAAAAAAAAATATTGGAAGTACATAAGCGAAAAGAGAAGTGAATAGTTACACTGAAGTACTTCTCAGGTTCAATGGTTGTACGTTTAGTTATACTACGTATTTCCTATCGAAAAAAAACGGCTGAATTTGAGAAATGAATTGAATAGAGACAATATTTTGGATAAAATATACTGACCGTCGTCTATTCGGTCATGACTCGTGACGATTTTCTTTCCAATAGCGTCCCTCCGTTTCAGAACCCTCATGCTCAGCTGGAGCCTTAAAGGCTTGGATTCCTGGAACTTGGCAAGGAAATTGGAGAAACTCCTTGAACTCGATCGCCAACTCGTGGCAGCAAACTCATGGTAATCCTCAAAATTCTTTGCATCGTTGGAAGCAAAAAGTGAGGAAAAATTGAAACGGAAGAAATCCACAAAGGGAATGTTTCCTTCCCGGAAGGCCTCGAGAACAAGCGGAAACTTCCTATCGGCGAACGTGATCATCAAGAATATATTGTTGATGACATCCTTCCCAAAGACAGATTGGACCGAGTCGAAGGCATATTTCTCTATTAGAGTGAGACTGGTATTGGATGCCTGAAGCACGAAGCCGACCGCATCGAGATGATCCAGACCTTCCGATTTTCCTTTCGAAAATAATTTCATCAACCTCGTCATGACACACTTGTCCCCCATTAAGCCCCTCATGTCTCCAAATCCAGGGGTGTCCACGATGGTGAGGTTGAAGGACGCTCGGCACCCCTCCTGCCATGGGAGTGTGTACGCCGTGACCCAGGAAGTCTGACTTTGCACCTTGGGCTTGCCACTTTCGGTGTCTGGGATCAAGACCAGCCGGAAGGGGTCTTCCAACTCCACTCCGTAGAAATTGGCCGCCGAACGATCCTGCTCTTGAATGCCTACGTAAAACCTAACCATTATATCAACACGTTAACATGACACGCTCTTACCTCGACTCTCTCAGCTGAAATATATATCCGTTTAACATATTCATACGGTATTTTCGTGCGATATATTCCTTGGTAACATTCAGCCGATAGTACTCTTCGGAAGTCATCACGGCCCGGATTTCTTTACGTCTGTTGAAATTTTTGTTGAAAATTCTTCAACAAGCTATATACCAGCAAACAATACTAAATTGGACCGACGTTACGTCGACGTTCCGAACGTTTATTAAATGTCGATTCAACGTTCTTCCAACTGTCCGTGTTTTTAATTGTTTGCTGGAACGGCTTGGTCCTAGTTGGCTTGGGCCCATTGGCTTGGTCCTAGTTCTTGGATCAAATTTCATCATTTTTACCATGTAGAAACTAATTCTAACAGAGGAAATCGATGTCTTTCGAATGATGTATCACACAGGTCCCAAAACTGATATGAATGGTCATCCGGGTCAGGTCCAAGTTCAACTCTGGAAAAGATCTAATATGAATTACAAAACAAATTAGAAGACGAATTAGCTATCGTCTTTGAAAACCGGTTGAGAAGCCCGGAAGGAGTTCACTGGATGATATCCAGTCATTCAGACATCTGCAAGTCCTCATGCTTTTAGATTTCCTTCAGTATTGGTACTGCTGATTGTGGATATCCGTACTAACAGGGCGGAACGATCCGACTCGTTTCCCAGGGATTTATTTACAGTAATTTTTCTCCCAAGCACAATGCGATAAAGAGGAGGGATCGTCAGCGATGAATTCTTTCCATGCTCGGCGGCAATGACATCCGAAGACTTGCTCGTGCGTTTCCATGCTCCCGTCAGGGTTTACTCGTCACGAAATTCTCACGGACGTCCTGGAGTATTCTGATCCTATCCGTCCAGCCAGGCTTCATTTGGTGGTTCTCGGCCGAGATCAAGAGTTCCACGTAGTCGGCGGCCGTCGTGCGGTTCGGCATGGGGGAGATCTTTTCCAACTCGCAGAGGTTTTCGTGGGCTTCCAGGACGAGATTCGTGACCTCGGATCGGATCGCTGTGTGTTTCTCCGGAGATGCTTTCGAGCTCTCAGTAAACATCTTTCCCGAAATGGCTTTGCCGTAGGACCGCTTCAGGTCTTCCAGAGTCTTCGTTTCTGTCACGATGTATGACTCGAATCGATGCCCACTGTTCACATGCTCCTTGAAGTGACATTTTAAAGGACAAACACTGCAGTAACCTGTTACTGGGTTTATGACATCGCACTCTCTCGAGTCGTTTGATATCGTGCAAGGAAAGTGGCAAGTAAAATTGCATCTCATGCAATTCGTGGCGTATTCACCCACCCGCAGTTCGACCCTCCGCTGCTTCGTAACTTTTACTTGGTAAGTAAAATTCCTTTTAAAACTTGTTTCATCCTTCCGCCGCTCCAGTGAGACCGTTTCATTTTTTATGGAACTCAGGACAAGCAACGCTATAAAAGAAAGGAAAAAGAAGGTCCTTAAAAATAAAGACGACCTAAGTCAGCAAACATTTTGAAAAAAGTGGTCGCAAATTTGAGATAGTTCTCCCATTTAAGTCCATAAATGTCCTCTCTAGGAGGAGAGGCGGATATGTTCCCAACGGAATTATGGCATCGAATCAAAATTCATTTGCGCAAGCCAAAGAACCAAAATTAGACAGAAATTCCTCCAAAGCGAACGCAGGAAAAATCAGAAAGATACTTAAATTCGCATCCATCCATTGATACGTGATGCTTCCTAGGTCAGTAACTTAGGACTTAAATCCAACTCTTAAAATCTTCAGTCAAAAGTGAACCATGATCCTTATGTAAAAGACTCTGTTGGATCCTATGAGACTTTTGAAACATAAAAATCTCATAGGATAATCTATAGAAATCCTATAGAAATCTATAGGATTTTCCCGTAAGAGAACCTGAAAGTAAGATGAGCTCGTCCCTAACGGTTCTGGTTCTCCCCTGTACTCCAGCATGGCGGATGTGCGATGTGTGTGCCGGGTTCAACGTCATCTTGGACGTCAGTGAAAAAGCCCTATTCGTTCTCGATAGTTATTATTACGATCATATTGAATTAGTGGTTCAAAAAAAAAATTTGGAAGTACTTAAGCGAAAAGAGAAGTGAATAGTTACGCTGAAGTACTTCTCAGGTTCAATGGTTGTACGTTTAGTTATACTACGTATTTCCTATCGAAAAAAACGGCTGAATTTAAGAAATGAACTGAATAGAGACAATATTTTGGAGAAAATAAACTGACCGTCGTCTATTCGGTCATGACTCGTGACGATTTTCTTTCCAATAGCGTCCCTCCGTTTCAGAACCCTCATGCTCAGCTGGAGCCTTAAAGGCTTGGATTCCTGGAACTTGGCAAGGAAATTGGAGAAACTCCTTGAACTCGATCGCCAACTCGTGGCAGCAAACCGGTGATCCTCAGAATCCTTTGCATCGTTGGAAGCAAAGAGTGTGGAAAAATTGAAACGGAAGAAATCCACGAAGGGAATGCTTCCTTCCCAGACGGCCTTGACAACAGGCGGAATCTTCCTACCGGCGAACGTGATCATCAAGAATATATTGTTGATGACATCCTTCCCAAAGACAGATTGGACCGAGTCGAAGGCATATTTCTCTATTAGGGTGAGACTGGTATTGGATGCCTGAAGCACGAAGCCGACCGCATCGAGATGATCCAGACCTTCCGAATTCCCTTTCGAAAATAATTTCATCAACCTCGTCATGACACTCTTGTCCCCCAATAAGCCCCTCATGTCTCCAAATCCAGGGGTGTCCACGATGGTGAGGTTGAAGGACGCTCGGCATCCCTCCTGCCATGGGAGTGTGTACGCCGTGACCCAGGAAGTCTGACTTTGCACCTTGGGCTTGCCACTTTCGGTGTCTGGGATCAAGACCAGCCGGAAGGGGTCTTCCAACTCCACTCCGTAGAAATTATTGACGAATCCGTTCACCAGAGTGCTCTTACCTGGTCATAAAAATGGACTTCAAGAGACACCTGGAATTTATGAACCTATTTAGTGAATCACGTAATCTCACCTGCTCCAGTGGCCCCGAGGAGAATAATGACTCTTTCTTCCATGTCTTCATAAGTCGAGTCGAAAGACAGCCTACACTTGGCTGTCCTTTCATCTGGATCTCTCATTATGTCCTCTACGGGGACTTGATACAATCCATTGCGAGTGAGAGTTGCCTTCTGCATCAGATACTCCGCAGGTCTTCGAAGAGGACCGATTCTTCCAGCCACCAATTGCCTTGCATCTTGGCGGTCAGAGGTCGCATATTCCAGCCCACCTCGGTCTTGCCCCAAGTCGGCCAAGGAGACTTGTTGAACTGATGCTGAAGTGGGATTTCTAGTGTATTGACTCAAATGTTGGATTGGAGGGGTGCCCGATGTGACAATCGGACTCGGCGGTCCAGTTCCAATACGACTCAGGGCACACACCTGCGTAAGTGGCAAAGATCAATTTCAGCAAATTTAAAATATTTTTGACGTATATGCCTTCATTTGTACCGAAAAAAACTGACCATGAAACGGTATATCTGTCCCGGGACAAGACCGAGAATCCTGACCGGTGAGGAATCCACCTGAATAGATTTCCAGTCGTCGCTGTCAGCTGCAAGCGAGACGATAAACCCGTTGACATAGTTTCCTCCAACAACAGGCCAATTCCAATGCACTTCGCAATCCCCTCCATTCGGCGAAACCTGAACTCGAACGTTGAAAGGCTCTCCTGGAGGGACGAACACTCCACGTGAAGCCCCTCCAGCCTCACTCAATACGATCTCGCACAGTCCTTCCATTCCCACCGCTTCTGCTGCCACAAATTTTAATTTTGGGATCCCCTGAGTCCTTCTGTAATGAAGGAAGATACGCTGGCATTCGAAAAGCATCTGCACTTGCTCTGGGGACTCATAAGGGGAAGGCGCTCCCACGTTTGCTTGCCGGTTCAGAGGCAGGGGGCTTCTCGGACCATCCATAAGGGATTTTGTGCCATCGGTGCCTCTGTAGAAGAAGCAAATCACCGCTGTGATCCCGCTGTCTTGGAATGCATTCGATGCATTGCGAATTTCTACTCCTGAATCGTAGAAATTTCTCACGAGAACGAGTTATACTATCCGAAGGTCAAGGAAAAACGCTTTTAGGTAGCCGTTACAAACTACAACATCCCATAAAAAGCAAGGGTCACAAACACCTGACTATAGCTGAAGTAAGAAGACGGAATCCTAAAGAACCAGATCGGCATCGTATTTTTTCATGAAGAAAGTCCGCAATTCCTTCCTCGATCGATCTAGATGGATGTTGGCCTGCTTCAGCAGTTTCTCGCACTGCTGACCGAAGACGTCATGATTCAGCTTGCATTCTTCGCAAGTCCCGGCGATATAGCCAGCACAAATGTGCAGCTTGAGGCATTCATCCCCGCGACTGCACCCGTGTCCGACGTTGTATTCCCGACAGAGGTCAGCCGGGCGGTGCAGGCCAAGGTCGTCCAAGAAGTGGTGGACTCCTAGGTGCAAAAGGTCTAAGTTAAGTGAGTCCTGCACCGCTAACACCGCGCACGACTATGACACTGGCAAGAGCGTTTCTCGTAGCGCGCAAAGTCCGAACGGAAATTTCGGGCAGATGTGCAAAGATTGACACGTCTCTTCGACGCAACCCTTGGAGGTCAAATGACCTCTGCATATCGTCAACGTGACATTCAGAGACACCGCGCCGTTCGTCACGAGGAGCTGCTCGTCTTCCTGGAGAATCCCACGAATTTCTTTTGCCGTGCTTTTCAAAGTAGCGGATAATTCCTCGATATCTGCTCTGAGGTCTTCCTTCGCCACAATGGCATCAAGGAGATTTTTCCTAAGGCGTTGCTTCCTTTGTTCCTGCGCTTCTTTCTCCTTTGTCTCTCGTTCTTCCTCCTCGTCCGTGGTCGAGTCCTTTCTGCGTGTCGTCGTAGTCTTCTTCCTCTCCTCCAACTTTTTATTCTCACCTGCGGTCTTCTCCTTTTCCCTGAAGGTTCCAGTTCTGGTGATCGTGAATCCTTCTCGGCTTGTCGTACTCTTTCTGAACCATCTTCGCATTTTAGTCACGAACCTTCTCAGCTTTCTCTTTCCTGATATCATGAAGATTCAGTTGTTGCTTAATGCATCAATGCTCTTCGCGGTGATGTGATGAGGAAAACTGAGAGACATGGAATTCTTTTTTTGCATTCGTGAATTCTCAAGACGATTTTTGAAGCAAGAGGCATTCATTAAGGAAGAACATTAGTGAGCTCAATACTTCTAATGACCCCAGGACAACAATACATTGGGCCCACGTTTGCTGCGAGTGGGAAAATGTGGGCCAATATCGGAGTGGGCTGCCTGTGTTGGTCCCTCATTGGCGCGAGGGCGGCAGGCAACATTTGTCATGACTCAC